TAGCGTCGCGGCTGGTGCCTCTTCTGCTCAATCAGCTCGTGTTTGCAGAACCTGTAGCTGTCAAGAGCTTCCTTCCTCATCTGCTGGGTCCAAAGAAAGGTGACCTTTAAAGGCTTTCTCTCTTCAGAATTACTGCTGACAGGTTTGGGATGAGCTCAGAGTGGTTGTTCTATCAAATCAAGGGCATAGGGGGGGTTGTTTAACCAGAGCAAATGCTGTAACAGAGAACTGGAAAGGACGGTTACGTGTGCCACCCCATTTCATAGCATATTTGGCACTGGAAAAGACCTTTAAGATCATCGAGCCCAACCGCTGACCCAGCACTGCCAAGGTCATGGCTGAACTGTGTCCCTGAGCACCACGTCCACAGTTTTCCAACACCTCCCAGGATGGTGACTCCACCCCCTCCCTGGGCAGCCCGTTCCAATCCCTGACAGCCCTTTCCGTGTTTCCTGATATCCAATCTAAACATCCCCTGGTGCAACTTGAGGCAAGTGCAGTACATTCCACTGCTCTGCTGATGCTGGGAAGAGAATTAGGAATTGCCTGGGCAAGAATGTATCCCCCTACCTGCCCACCCCCAGGTTTCTCAGCGGCTCACTGCACATCCCTCTTCTTGCCCTCCCTCCTTCTGCCACAGCACTCCTCCTCCTCTACGGCTGCTTGGTCTCTTCTACTTTCCCAACCTTCCGCGTTCCGAGCCGCTGCCATCAAGTGACGGACACGGGCACTGCTGTCTCTCCTCCCTCCCGCCTCCGACATCCCAAACAAGCCATGTTGGCGGCTGACAAGGGATCAGACTTGGCAGTGGGGTGTCCCTCTACATCTCAGCTGCGATGGTTTCTCAGCGAGTGGCTTCTGGGTGAGCTGTCTCATTACTAAAGGAGCCTTTTCCCACTCTCTTCCCTAGAGCAAATCGGCGAAAACCAGCCCAGCTGCCTGCTGTCGCCGGCCTTGTTCCAGACGCACGTCATTCCCGTGCTGCTGAAGCTGTTCGAGGTTCACGAGGAGCACGTTCGAATGGTGCTGCTGTCTCACATTCACGCCTACGCCGAACTCTTCTCCCGTGAGGAGCTGAAGAACATCATACTGCCTCAGGTTAAGGACACCAAAACAATACGCCCTAGATCCTAGGATATGGGATTTTTCCTGGTCGCGTCGGGTCTCCGCTTAAGGCCGGGATCTCGCGGCACTGGGTTGGCAGCCTCTCTGGGCCGGCCCCATCCCCACGGGAGCGCTGGTTTTGTTCAGCCTGCTGCCCTGCCACCGTTCATCGTACCACGTTCTCGCTGTAGGTACTGCTGGGCCTCCGAGACACCAGCGACTCCATCGTCGCAATAACGCTGCACAGCTTAGCGGTCCTCGTCTCCCTGCTCGGGCCCGATGTGGTTGTCGGTGGAGAAAGAGTGAAGATTTTCAAGCGCTCTGCGCCAAGTTTCATGAAGACGGCCGATCTCTCCCCAGAAGGTAAGCGATAGGGGCAGAGCGCTCCCAGGATTTTTGCTCCTTCTGGCCAAGCAACACGGCAGAACGCCTTGGGTGATTAATCTTTTGCTGTCGACAGGTTGAACGAAAAAAGACAGCCTGCTGTCGACAGGCTGTGTCCAAGTCCAGGCTGGATGTGGCTTTGAGCAACCTGGTCTAGTGGAAGGTGTCCCTGCCCATGGCAGGGGGGTTGGAACTGGGTGATCTTTAAGGTCCCTTCCAACCCAAACCATTCTATGATTCTATGAAAAAAGGCTAATAGGCAGTTAAACTTTAGTTCTAAACAAGGTGCTGACTGTTTGCAGATGCAGAATTGGTATCAGAAGAATTATATATCATCATTATATATATAAGAAGAATTATATATCATAAGAAGAGTTACACAGAAGTATTTTGAACATAGGAAATATATGGGGTAACATTTTTACAAATATCTTAAAATTAAGAAGCAAAGATTGTGTGTTTGTCTTTGAAGGAAAACTACCATCCTTCTAAAGCACTTGGCTGTCTCTCCAGCCAGTTGTTTTAACATGCCCTCTGTCCTTTGGTTTTAAAACCAGTAAATCTCCTCCTCTTCCCCCAATTTCTATTCATAGATTGGAAAAGGAACACGAACTTCCCTATTCTCTCAGCTCTCAGGAGGCTTTTCAGCTAATCCCACTGAAGAACATAGTCCCTGCACCTGCTAGATAACTTGTAAGCAGTGTACTAAGGGAAAGCTTTTTGGGATACTCAAGCTTGTAACTGGCGGGAAGAGCCGGCACATGTCCCACGTTAGGCGTACAGATAGCGAACGGAACACGCGACAGCAGTCCTAAGCATCCACCTTTCCTTCCTGATGACCTGTGTGCTCGCAGCTACCACCCCTCACTAAAACCCATGGATGGCTCATCGCGTTATGGCACTCTAAGTTGTTTTAGTAGGTGACAGTAGATAAACCCCTTGGGGTCGCACGCTAAACCCAGGTTTGTTTTTCCGAATGTATTTAAAATTGGACCCGATTAAACTGACAAACTACAAAAATGCCACCTTTGTCCTCAAATCCGAGTGATGGACCTGCAAAAACCTGTACTTGGGGCTTAATAAGCTGTTTGCTTAAGGCCCTACAAGGATCTACCTCATACCAAGGGCACTTTGGGGAGGGGGTGGGTTCTCCTCCCCAGGGCCTTCCGCAGCCGAGGCCAGTGAATCGCCGCCACGGCTCCGGAACTGACCCGGGATGAGCTGTCAGTGCCGGTCCAGGGAAACAAACCCGCCTCGTGTGGGTTCAGAGCGTGGCCTTGCCTGCCACCCTGCCTCACCTCGGGCAGAGACTTCTTCCTGCCAGCCACTTTGCTCCTGTCCGGGCGGGAAAGCGGGCCTGGAGCGTGTTCGCTCACGCTCTGAACAGTGTCGGTGCTGTGTTTTCGGACAAGGCACACGATGGGGGATTTGTCACTCCATGCATTACAGAGGCAGGTGGCAGACAGCATTTTTAAAGCTTCTGTTCTCATGACCAGTTTGTTCCTTGTGTAAGAGCTGCCGAATGGGAGTCGCATGTTCCGTGCGACACAAGGCGTTGGATTGCTGCACCCGTCTGCATTGCCGAATGCAAAAAACATTCCAGCGCTGCCGGTCCACAACGCACCTTGTGGACTTGGGGTCTTCTCTTTTATCCCTGCAGCCTCCCCGGGTCATGTTGTAAGCAACGGGAGAAATCAAACCTCTCGGCCCTCGAAGACCAACTCCAGCGGGTTCCCCACCTCCGGAAACATCCCCGGCAAGAAGCTTTCCGTGCGACAGGACAACCCACTGGCTCTCGAGACAGGTAAAACTCAGCCCTAGCTCTTCCTTTCTAGAAGTCAAGCCTTCTGCGCACCAAGCGTAGCCTGGAAAGCTTTCGCATGTGAGAGGAGTCGAGCGCCGAAGCGCCTTTCCAGTCGGCATTACCGGCTTATTTCCGTGCTGGGCGCTCCCTGCAACGCCGAGGAGTTTCGGACACGGGTCTGTCCCTACACTTGCTCTCCCAAGTATGTAACCCCTCTGTCTTCTACAGGTGAGCCAGACACTCGGTCGCCCCTGAATGGAATTCCTGGAAGCATTAATGCACCAGGAAGTGGCCGGAGCTCTTGGACTACCTCTGAAAAGCCGGTGGAGGAGTGGCCAGACTGGAGCGAGCCAGAGGAGCCGGACACGGAGCAGACTGTGAACATTCACATTCAGCCCCAAGAGCCACGGGGCAGCGCGGGACCTTATTTTGCTGGACACGATGTGGATGAGAAGCCTTGGGATGACTTTGAGCCCAGCAGCCCTAGTCCCGAACTGTCCTCGGGAAACTGCCTCGCTGTGCCACAGGCTGATGGGGTCGAAACGCCCAGGCCCGGGCCGGGTACCCATCAACTGAGCAAAGACTTCAAAAGCCTCAGACTGAGTCCCCTCACAAAGTCCTGCCCTGGGAACAGCTGGAGCAGGGAGAACTGGGACCACCAGGAACAACTGGGAGAAACTGTGCTGCCCAAAAGGACCTTTCAGGAAAGGTTGACATCTTCATCCGAGTCCGGCCTAGGAGAAGAATTCACCATCAAAGTGAAGAGGAAACCCGCACGAGACCCTGAGCTGGACTGGTTTGCTGACATGATCCCAGACATCAAGCCTTCTTCGGCTGTCTTGGTTG